AAATAACCAAGAGACAAGAGATTTTCCCAGTGTCTCAATTCCAGAAGAAAGTAAAAACGATTTAAACTCAACAAACGGGACATGTTGAAGCTTCCCCAAAGGAAAGACTTCTTGCTTAAACATCACAGCAACAGAACATCCTCTATGAAATCACAGCAGAATTATCTCCTTCATTCATAAAAACATAACATTTTTGTTTATTTTATGAAAATCATCTTAATAATAAAAAAAAACAAAATATATCATCTCAGCACTAACTGGCAGCTGCTGCCTTTAATTAACACACGTTCTTTACTTTCTCAGCCCTATAATGATTTTACTTGCATTGTAGTACACAAAAATCCTGTTTGGGTTTCTCTTTCTGGAATAGTTATAACCCCTGTTTAATTCTATTGCAAAGTATATCAAGTATTATTATTTTTATTATGTATTATTTTGCTTTTCTTAAATAAAAGTAAAATTTTCAGGTTTATACCTATGTTACGGCCATTTGAAGTCTGTCAGCGTGCAAATAAAAAAATGCCAAAACATCCTTTTTTACTGTTTTATAAACAAGAAACCTCACATCTACATAATCATATTAACAAATTTTTCATATCAACTAATTTTTCAAACCCCACACATCAAAATAATGCAGACTAGCGTACACATTTAAATTATTTTAGTAATTATTAACAAGCATGTTTTATTCCATAATTCAACCTTTAGGTTTATTTAAATTTCCAATAAAAAGAAAGTTTTACAAATTCTTCGACATTTTGAATTATTAAAAGTAACTGCACATATACTTTGGTAGGTAACGAGTTACTTTCACTGACCAGTTACTGAGTTACTAACTCAGTTACTTTTTTGGAGAGGTAACTAGTAACTATGGCGGGTTATTATTAAATATATAATGTTTCATACGTGGTAAACTTTATGCCCATAAACAGCAGCTATATTACTGTTAGTGGTCTGGCTGTTAACTTCCTGTCTGTGTTGTTATCTCCCAGCTTTGTTTTTTCCTTTTGCTTTAAATCAAAGATTCAACTTTTTTTCCCTTTTTATTTAACCCTGGGGCTATTTGGAGTAATCAAGAAATAGTTTTTACTTTTTTTGTTGTTTTGTTTTTATACTTTCAAGGTGGACATTCATGCTGCATGCATTAATGATTTTTATTTGAAAAGAAAATGTGCTTATAACATCTTTTTCCATTCGGAGCTAAGAAATAGTCACAAATACATTTTAAATCTTCCCATTTGGACAGTTTTTTATTCTAAAGAAGTCAATTTTGAACACTTTTAAAATAACTCACTCTATTTGAACCCAATTTAAAAGGCTAACAGTGTATCTTTTGTTGCATTTTTCTCATTGTTTACAATATGATACCTTTACTTTTGGATGCTACACATGCTTGCAAGTTCAGCTTTAGCATTAGCACCCTGATTTCTTGACTAACAAGAAACATCCCTACACCTACTTTTCTAGGTTGGTGTATTTTATCATTAAACAATCTAAAATAAACTACCAGCTTTATTGCATTATAAATGATTAACAGGATAAAAGCTTGCATATATCATGTAGTTAAAGCTTAAACCTCATGGAACAGATATTGTTTTTAAGGTAAAATGTTTTCTTTGTGTCTATAAGGTATGAGGAAGACAAGAAGCAGTGGAGCGGCATGCTGAGGGAGATGCGCTATGCCGCAGGCTCCTCCTGTGTTTCTATGCGCCTCAACGCTGCCAGGATGCCCAAATTGTAGACAGAACCATTTTCCCTCTCAGCCTCATCTATTTAACAGCTTCCAAAGACTCCCTCCTCCTCCTTTTCCTCCTCCGAGCTGCTTCTAAGGCGATGGGTTGATCTTTGACATTAATATTTTCTCTGAACTCAGATGATTTTTATCTGTACAATAAAAGCTCCCTTCAGCTTCTCTTTCAAAGACGCCTCATCCCCTGAGCATAAAAAAAGAAGTCGCAATTTAGTTTGATCTCTAAATCTCTGTTTACACAATTTTAGCATGTCTTTTGTAAAAAATAATAAAAAAAAATATTTCTCCTTCTTGCCTCTGCCTTTGCTTTTTCTGCTTTTTTTATGTTGTTTTTTTAGGGCAGCTTGGGGCTGCAGGTAATGCATACTTGTAGAAACTTTCAGGTAAACATGGAGGTGGAGAAAAACAGCGACTATAGCCTTGACACTAAATGACTGGGTAATGATTTTTTAAACGAGGCTTAGGTTGGTGTCAAACTGGCTTCTGAGATAAAAACCAAAGAATCAGAACAGATGTCTGGTCTTTAACTCTGGCTGTAAATAAAATGTGTTTACTCTAACTGAAAAATTGTTTCAACTAATAAAAAAAAATATTAAAAAAAAACATTTACATGGATTTTAAACTGCTTTAGATGGCAGAGTTTAGCCTTGATGCTTTTTAAATTGATTCCTAGCATTTAAACATTTTTTTTTTTACCTGACGTCAGCTGTTTAAACTTGGACACCATTGGGTGTTTCACCAGGACACTGATCCCAAACACAGTTCAAAACTGCTAAAGACTTAAACTAATTTATTGTCATTTTGTGTAAATAGTGTGTATGCAAAACAAAATTTTGTTTATGCAGCTTTCCAACAGTAAATGAGCAGCCGCTTAGCGGTGAAAATCAACATTTCCATTTACAAAGTGCAGCAGTGATCAAAATGTTAAAAGTATGCGAGCGACATGGTGCAGAGGAACTGGCTGAGCATCAGATCTTTGGAAAAGCACTGACTTTAAAGGGTCTCAGTCATGTTAGCAAGCTTAGCCTACTAATATTCACATTGATGTCGAAATACAGCTTTTTTTGAGCCGGAAAAGAATTTATGCTATGGCCGCAGACATGGACATTACTGTACGCCGTCGCCATCAGCTAGTAGCCGACATATTAGATATATTAGTAGGGCTGCAACTAACGATTATTTTGCAAAAGAAACAAAACAACGAATAATTTTTTCGATTAATCGATTAATAACCGGATAGCCAAAGGCTCCCGAAAGATTATTTTTACTAAATTAAAACAAATGAAAACAAAAACGTTCCAACTGAAAAAGTCGGGAAAGAGAATATTAACAGACGAAAAAAAGTGTTTATATATTTTTTTGCAAATCTGGGAAAAACGACGCCGGAAAGGGAGTTCCCCGGCAACCAAAAGCAAGGTTTAAAAGCACCAAAAATCAAGTAAAAAATAAACCAATAACTAAATAACTGACGCTTATTTGACGCTTATAATAATTGATTAATCACAATTTAATATTTATCCGATTATTTGTGTCAGCCCTGTATATTAGATATATTTTTGTGCTTTTTTAAACTTAATATTGGGCTTTTCTTTTTACATTGTATTAATTTGTCATAGATAATTGATTAAAAAAAAATTCTAAAAAAAGACCAAAAACAGAAATATATAATTCTCCAAGATGGAACCATCATTTCATAAGAAACCCCTTTAAAGCAAAAGGAGGGACCTATTGATAAGGAAATGTGTAACATTATAGTATGTGACCTTTAATTGTGATGTAATTTTCTCTGCGGTGTGCTGAGAGATTTTTATCCAAATATTAACAGAGGGGTGCATATTAGGTGGGTGTCATTTTAACTTTGTGTCGATGGGAAAAAAAATCACAAAAGGTTCAGTTTTAAGCTGTTTTTTGAAGAAATTGTTTGGTATGTGTAATATTGTTATTCAAACCTAGGCAGTAGGTTTGTAGAAATTAAAGAGGATCTAGCCAATGGTTTCCCAGAAAGGCAAAATCTCAAAACTTTAAGATCGTTTTAAGCAAAGAAAATGACATAAAATAAAATGATTTTTTTTAGAAAAAGCAAATGTATTTACATGAACACAAAGTGAAACATAAATGTGAAATGGAAGGAAGATGCATGGTTTGAATAGAACCAGATATATCTGTATTTACAGCTGCTCAGCGGCGCAGTGGGCAGCACTGCTGCCTTGCAGCAAGGAGGTTGCTGCAAGGCCCGGGGTCTTTCTGCATGGAGTTTGCATGTTCTCCCTGAGCTTGTGTGGGTTCTCTCCGGGTACTCTGGCTTCCTCCCACAGTTCAAACCAACATGATTTTTAAGTTAATTGGCTTCTCTAAATTCTCCTTAGGTGTGAGTGTGTGCGTGAATGGATGGATTGGATTGATATCTGCATTTATAACCAGATTCCCTTTTTTCTATCACAAAAAGAGCTTAAACCTAGACTGGAAAGAGATAATCCACTGATTCCTGTCAGAAACTAGACTTTGATTAGGACATTTTAACAAATATATCTGTTTGAGCCAAACCACTGTAGTACTCCATTGTACTGTGTATTTAGGTTTACTATGAGAACTAGAGTATTAGTTTCCTCAGTTTTGGAAGATAATTGGATGTATGAATTTTAATGGTCCAATTTGATGGTAAATGATTAGTGTGTAATTTTTTTTAAAGCATTTGGAATAAAGACTAAACTAAAGTAAATAGATTCATAAAGGAATGCTGAAACCCCTTTAAAGATCAGTAAAAATACCAAGGTCCGGTTTATTAGAAACTCTTTGTTAAGAATCAAATGGCACAAGAAGACCTTTTTTTTAAATGGCTGCATAAACACAAACAGCTCTTCCTTTCTGCATATTTCCCACACCTCCTTGTTTTTCTTAAATGACACACCATGAGCATCTGTGCCAGATTTATGTTAACAGGTGTCAAAGTCTTTGAACCATGTGTCAGCCTGAGAAAAATTAACAAAGACCTCAATTGAATCACCTGTTTCCTGAACAAAGCAGCACTCAGGAGTTTGATTTAACGAGACAGAATAAATATCTCACTCTCTCACTTCTCCTTCATTTCCTGCAAACTCCTATGAAACCTGACCTTTGTCAGTTTTAAGCATGGCACAGGAATGTTGTCTGCAAATGGCTAAAGGTGATTCACACAACAGTGCACCTTGGAACTGAAATATCCTGGAGTTCCCCCCCTGGGTGTGGAAGGCTGAGTGGGAGGTGAAGAGATGAAGGAATGGAAGCAAAAACAAAGACGACACACTAAGGACTTGGACCGCACACTAATGAGGACACATTCATTTCAAGTAGGTTAAATATATATATATGTTTACTTGTATTGATCTGTGTTTTTCTGAAATTATGGGGCATTAATTATAACTGCAAATGAATGTTTTTTTTTTCCAATGTCCCATCGTTTTCAATGTGTGACTGTACGCAGCACATCTCCTCACATCCATAATAGGACAAGTTTCACAAGCAAAGCTACAGCTGTGATATCCTGAGAGGCTTTCACAGACCAAGCTGTTGACAAGGAAACGAGATACCGTTCGCTTCTTTCCCACTGAGGCGCTTTGATTGCTTCCTTTCTTCCCCGCTCTGCTCACCTCTTGCTTTTCAGTCCTGCTTCCTCTTTCCTTCCTCTGCAGTAATTGCTGCTGACCGTCTAACGACAGGTATGGGACTAGAGCTTTACTTCTAGTCTGTTTTTAATGTCAGTTGTTATTCGTACAACTTTGTTGGGTCAGCTGTAGATAAAAGCGACAAAAGCTGACCTTCAACCAGATGGTTTGTGACCCTAAAATGCAACCGTTTTCCATATGATCATTTTTAGAGTACGATACTCTATTTGATTTATTTTCCTATCTGTTATCTTCATGCACTTTTCTAAGGTGCACATTGTGTGACCACTTCTACTATAACCTTTTGCAGCTGTAAACACCACAATTTCCCAATTGTGGGACAATAAAGAGATTTTCTATTCTATTCTAATCTATTCTATTTTATTTTTCAGTATTTTATGGACAATTTCGTTTCAATTGCTGTAAATACTGGTTTATAGGGATGATTTGTAGCTTTTTCTTGTGAACGATGATGAAATTCTATCGTCAAATTAGTCAATATTCAAGTATGTATTAATAAAAATAGAACAACAGACAAAATAGGTCTTTTTTTGTAGCTTAATCTTACTAAAACAAAACAATACCTGTAATATGAGAGCATTCATCATCCATTTACATTAATAAAATAATTAGATTTCAAACCCGGTTACATTTTCTAAACTCCAACAATTATCTAAACATATTTTGTTATTTTGCTCAGTTGTGTTTTGTTTTCTTCATATTTTTCTTTTTGTTTCTTTCTATCAGTCATAAAAGATTCGATGTTAATGATCAGTGTTTGCTTAATTAGAGAGGCAAAGCTATTTATATTTAATTTAAAGTCTTTCTCCAAACTGATTAAACAAACATATATTTTTTCATTTAAATCAATGCATGATGTTTGACGCGTTTTATTTAAGTATATCTTAATTTTTGTTTCTAGATTTTATTCAAAGCTTAATTACACACATTTATTGTTATTAAACCAACCTATATTTTTTTAATCACATAAATATGCCTAATTATCCCTCATACTCCACATTTATTTGCTGATCAGTTTGTCCTTTAACATAAAAAAGAATGTTAATTTCGAAAGAGATATATATTGAAATTAAAACCTGCCCCTGATAGCATTCTGTGTCATGAAAGTCTAAATTTAAATTAAACAAGCTAAAGTTGAACACAAACCTACATTTTTATTTTAACCCATCTACTCTCTCAACCACAAGCGACAGCTTGATATTAACATGTTACTTTAGCTTGATAGATAAATACTTTCAATTGCAATTGAAGAATTTATTAATTTTAATTAGAGAAACTTTTGTATTAAGCATTTAAGGAATAAAAGAGGATTTTCTGGAATTTTTTAAAAGGCCGGTCCTCTCCACTTTATATAAACAATGCACATGCACAACCTTTTAACCGCTCCCAAGAGGGAACGCTTTTAAACGCTAACGAGAGCATGGACGTCATCTTTACAAGTCGTCTCTGCGAATAACCACGACTAATCACCAATCCCTGCAAATAAGACTACTGGTTAATTAAAATAAAATAAAAAATCATGAGCTGCAATGTAAGCTTGGACATGTTTGCCGGGTTATCCACCGTATAATGATGCAAATTACAAAATAAATAAACTTATCTGCCCTGGAAAGTTACAATATAGATGTAGATAACCTTTTCCAGCAGTGATGTGAAATGGATTTCTCCAAATAGCGTGCTAAATTTATCTGTTGAATAGAAACTTTGCAGCGGAAGCCAGACCTGTGCTTTCATTGTACGCCATCGTATTAAAGAATCTCCCAAAAAAACTCTGGTCTTGTTTCTCTCTTCTGTGGCCTCTCTCTTCTTCTCATACACTTCGTAGACTTGTAAATATATCACCAGAATGATTGACAGTTAGGAGGACCACTTATTTAGATGATCCACCCGGAAATAAAAGATCTTCCTCCAGACATTTAAAATACTAGTTAGCATCTATCAAATTTTCTTTTGGCGTTAGCTTCATTTTAGTATTCGCACTCTATGCAGTTAACACAGAGTGACGCTTCCCCATATATACAAAAATTAAAAGATGAATATTTCTTTTTACTGGTTATAATCTGTTTTTTTTATTTATTTATTAAACAGGGTTTTTTCCATGGCTGGTCTCAACAACAGCTGCACTTTCTTGGACGACTTCTTGAAACGTTACTACCTGTCAGCCTCTTATGGCATCATCTTTATCGTGGGTGTGATCGGGAACTTAACGTCCATCAGCATCTATCTGACAAAGCTGCGCCCGTGGAAGAGCAGCAGCATCATCATGGTCAACCTGGCGCTTACGGATCTCCTCTACGTCCTCACCTTGCCCTTTTTGGTCTACTACTACAGCAACGGGGAATCGTGGATGCTTGGAGACTTCATGTGCCGCTTTGTGCGTTTTGCCTTTCATTTCCACCTGTACGGAAGCATCCTGTCCCTGACCTGTGTGGCGGTTTTCCGTTTCTTGGTGGTGGCCCAGCCGCTGAGGGTGGCACAGCTGCAGCAGAAGCATTGGGGCGCTGCTGCTTGCCTGGTAGTCTGGATTGTTGCTGCTGCTGAGGTCACACCAATGCTCACTATCATATCTCTGACCCATGATGATAACAACATGACCTTTTGTGTTGACTTTGCTAACACAGAAACAGACGGCAGCATTAGGATGTATAACCTGTTGCTCACTGCATTTGGGTTTGCTCTACCCTTAGTGCTGGTGTTCATCTTCTACATTGGGATTGTTAAACGGCTCGCCAGGGGATCCAGCCCCACCTCTTCCTACAGGATGCGTGCGCGCCGTGTGACCATCCTCATCCTGCTGGTGTTTGTCATGTGCTACCTGCCTTATCACATCTTGCGAGTCCTGTGGGTAGAAATTCGAATGAGCTCTACAACCCAGTGCACAAAGTACATAGTGCATGCAGCGTACATTATCTCCAGGCCTCTAGCAGGACTTAACACGTTCTTTAACCTGGCTTTGTACACCCTCTCAGGTGATAACTTCAGGAAGGCCTTTCTGGACATTTTTTGCCGGGAGCAATGGATCAGCAAGGCAAGATCTCTGCTCCACCTGAACATTAATAACCGAGCAGAGAATGGGACGCCTGCTGCATGAATAAAATTCATGCAGACCTGTTGTTTTTTGTAACCAAAAACCTCAACGAACACTTTGAGGGCATAGGTTGTTACTTCGTAACTGGACAGTTGGTATTAGAGCAGTTACCCCTGAGTTTACATTATTAGTGCATTGAATTAGCATTCATCCTTTGTTATTTTAATCTTGATCTTCTGACTGTATTTATTATAGGAAAGTTTGGGTGTGAGGCTATAATATTTTTCTCATTATGTTTTTCCTTTCTTGACCAGTATGCTGTTTTGTATTTGCCCTGTATATTACAATAGTTCATACCATGGGTCTGCAACCTTTACAATCCAAAAATACATTTTTTTTTTCATTCAGTTCATCTAAAGAATACCTTTGAGTCAGAGCTGTTACAATATCTTTTGAAAAAAAGCAACATTCACAACTTTTATCGTCATTTACGAAAAGAGCATTTACTTCTATTTTGTAAAATTTAGCATTAAAAGGATTTATTTCATTTTGTAAGATTTTCTTTTTAGACAGTTAATTAAAAAAAAAACTACTTTTAAAAACTAATAAAAAAAAAAGATCTAGAAAATATATTGCGGATAGTTTAAGTGCATTATTTCTGGAAATTCAGTGTAACTATTTCTTAAGAAAAATCAGTTTAGACTTTATAAATTTTAGCTAAAGTTAGAAACGGAGCCAACCCAATGCATGAACCAAACTTGTCCTGACTGCGCTTTTTGGTTATGTTTAGGTTTTTTGAGTTTTCAGTTATACTTTGATTCATGTCTTTCTGTCTATTTTATTGGTTTACTTTCCATTTTGTGTCATTCTAGTTGTTTTTGATTGTATTTGAGTTCTTAAGTATTTCTTGATTGCAATCTGTTGCCCTCTTGTGTCAGTCTTTTTTTCCCTAGCTCCCTTCTAGGCTCCTCTATCCATACCTGCTCCCAATCTGCTAATTAGCCTAGTCGTTGTTCAGTCTCCCAATTATACACCTCATGTGATCAATCATCTGCCTGTTTCTAAGTCCCTTGTGGAGAAATGTCCTAGGTCTTGAGAAGCGAGGAAACAGGAAGCGATTCTTGTGGGATGGAAGAAGGAAATAGTGAAAACGAAGAAGATTGGAAGAAAAAAAAAGCGGAAAAATATCAACTAAAGGGGAGTCCAGATCAGAACAATCTAGTGTTAAACAATCTAGAAATTCCACAGGAGAACAAAATTATTACAAAGTCATATTCACACTAGTTAATCAGGGAGACTCTTTTGCAGATTGGAATCCGGTGCAGTTAACAAAATCGATAGACAAACTTGTAGCTGAAGTCCGAATTTGAAAAATACTCTATAGTGGAGACCTTTTAATCAACTGCAGGAGTCATTGGAGGAGTGCCTCTAAAAATAACTGACAAAGGAATACTTGAAAATGTAAGTGGTGCAAAATTAAAAGAGGTGAAACGGTTAAAAACAGCAAGAAATGGAGAAAGGTGTGAAAGCTTATCAGTGTTGATGAAATTTGAAGAAGAGCAATTACCCAGTAAGGTTTTTATCGGATGCATGAGCTACATTGTCAAAATGTACAATCCTCCACCTCTAAGATGCTTCAAATGCCACAAATGCGATCATATAGCAGCAGTATGTAAATGCATACAGCGATATGGAAGGTGTGCTGGGGAGCATGAATATTGAAAATGTGGTAAAGCAAATTAAATGCTGAAAATCTGGAACATACTGCTGCATAGACTCAACAGTTAAGAAAATGACAATTTGAAAACCTCTGAGAGAGTGCCCCAACATTGCAAAAGACTCATTGATTGTTGAAAAGAAGGATTTTGTTCTTTTTATGGTAGAATTGATCAATTGTAGTGCTCAGACGGCAAAGAAAAACAGGAAAAAAATCAAAATAATAGTGAAAGCTGCAGAAAAGTACCTTGAAGTGAGAGATTTAAACTGGGAAACTGTTTAAAGAATGATCGGAAAACTAGCAGGACCATCAGAAACTGGCAGAGAATTAGAAATTATGAGGACGAATTTGACTGTATTTCATTATGTTTGATTTTGGAAAACTATAAAAAAAAATTCTTTATAATTATTTCTTCATTATTTCTGGTGCAATTCTTGTTTCCCATTTCCTCCTTATCAGTTGGTGGCGGTAATGCACTTTAAGTAGTTTGCCAACCACCATAAATCACTAAAGGAGAGGAAGAAGATTACACCTCATGTTCAGTCACTGTTTGCTGGTTCCTTGTTGTTGTTAGTTTCTTCCTTGTCTCTGGCTCCCGGCGCGAGTTTTCCCTGATGTTTTCTGTTTGTTTTTTGGTTCTTTGTTTTTTGGATGTCTGCCTCAGTTACATATCATTCTTGTTGGTTAACATTAAACCAACAAGGACTCATCTCTGCTTCACTCTTCTCTGCATTTGGGTCCTCAAGCATCCTTAACCCTTTAGTTGACAAAACTAAGCTGCTTAAACTGGAAAAAAATCGAAATCTAGATAAGTAATTTTTTTCTTAAAATAAGTGCATTTGTTCTTGGATTGAAGAGGTAAAAGAGACATTTTGCCAATGGAACAAGACAATTTACAGTTAAAACAAGAAAACACAATTGCATTGTCTTATTTCAAGTGCTTTTTATCTAATTATCTTATTTTAAGAGTAAAAAAACTAATTACATTGGCAAAATACCTGATTTACCTTCTCGAATTAAGAGTAAATACACCTATTTTAATAATTTTTTACTTATTTCTAGATAATTTTTCCAGTGTAGGGCCTCGGGGAAAGAATTGAGCCCCTGAAAACAATTAATTATTTGGGATTTTTTTCCCCAAATAATTAATTGTTAATTCTATATAAATATGGTCACAAAAAGACAAAATTTCATGATGAAATAATTATTATCTATTAC